CTCTCTCTCTCTCTCTCTCTCTCTCTCTCTCTCACACACACACACACACACACACACACACTTTATTCATGTTAAAAGTAGGTTTCAGAGTTTAGATTTATCCTAAAAATCAAAATCATCATGTTTAAGGCTTTAGGTCCAATCTCCAGCACAAAACAAACAAACAAACAAACAAACAAAACAAAACAAAAAAAAACAAAAAATACTCCCCCAAAAGCAACATTTAGGGCTGGAGAGATTTAAGAGTACCATGCATGTGTGGCTCTTGCAGAGGAGCCAAGTTCAGTTCCCAGTACCTACATCAGGTTGTAACTTAGCACCAGGGGGATCTGACTCCTCTGGCCTCCTTAAGTACCTGCATAGACACATAATTAAAAACAAAAAACAAAAAAAAAACTTAAATCAATCAATCAATCAAACAAACAAAAACTCCAGCAAGAATGCTTAACAAGGCAGCCAAGATTATGTGGAACAGAAAATTATTCCTGGTGAACTGGCTTCCAGGAGAGTCTGGCTTGCCGGAAGCCCCAGCTCTCCTGCGGAGTTGGTCTCTGGCAGAGGAAGTAATTATCTAGGCCCTCCAACCAATCAACACCAGGCTGGGACACAGCTTCAAATTCAAACATTCTCTCTGCTCTGGTAAGAACAAATATTAACTTGTTCCTCCAATGGGTACCGAGGCCAGGAAAACGGCAGTGTTTCCACAGGAAGGTCTAAGGAGCCAGAGATGAACTGTTCTGCTCAGAGCAAAGGACTCTGGCAAAAAGGAATTTGTTACAGGATATTCTTCCCTGTCTAGGTTGGATGTGACATTCACCATAAAAAATCAAAACAGAAAAAAAAAAATCAAACAAACAAACAAACAAAAAAACCCTACATGCATGCTAGACACGATTGACAAGACCAGGCAAGGCATAGTTTCCAGGCAAGAACGTCAGATTTTCTTTCTTTCCACTCTATATTACATGTATGAGTATCTTGCCTGAGGGTGTGTCTGTGCCCCAAGCGTCTGGGGAGGCCAGAGGAGGCTTTGGGTCCCTAAGAACTGTAGTCATGGGTGATTGTGAGCCGCCCTGTGGGTGCTGGGGACGGAACACAGGGGCTCTGTAAGAGCAGTAAGTGCTTTTAACCCGTGAGTCATCTCTCTAGTTGGCAGCGGCGGAGGTGCTGGTGGGGCTCTTTTTAAGTTAGGGTCTCATGTAGCTCAAGCTGGCCTTGAATTTGCTCTGTAGACAAACATGACCTTGAACTCCTGTTCTTTCTCTCTCTCTCTCTCTCTCTCTCTCTCTCTCTCTCTCTCTCTCTCTCTGTGTGTGTGTGTGTGTGTGTGTGTGTGTGTGTGTGTGTAACTATGAGTACACATTTGAGTCAGGGTTTCACATTGAACCTGGAGATAGGCTGATAGTCAACAGCCCTAGGGATCCCACAGCACTGGGGTTAAGGGAAATCCCATTTGGTGTGGTGGGTTAAGATAGGGTCTCCCTCTCCCCGTCCCCCTTGCTGCAGGCTGCACTGGGTGAGCTAGCTGAAGCAGTGCTGGAGAGCTCCCAGGTAGTGATGACGAGGGAAAGCTGGCGGGATGACCAAGCGAGCTACTACCCAGGCCCGGAATCAAGTCTTTCCACCCCAACATCCACCCCATCTATGATCAAAACAGCAGGACCTCCACCTCCACGACACAGGACAACAGGATATCCAAGAGGAGCCCCACAGAGAGCCCCTTATTGGTGGTGTAGCGGAAGCCAGAGGCCCTAAGCCAGGCCAATGACTCCTAGCAACGAACTAGCATCTAGTAAAGATGAATGGACTAAAGGGTAAACTATGTGACCCAAGGGGCCACACTGAAGCTTCCATGACAAGATTCATTCATTCATTCATTCATTCATTCATTCATTCTCTCTCTCTTTCTCTGTGTTTCTGTTTTGTTTATTTTGTTTGGTTTTTGGTTTTTCTTTTAAATTTGGTTTTTTTTGGGGGGTTAAGTTGCAAGGGCAGAGGGCAGATGAGGGGATGGGGAAATAAGCGGGATCAGAATGCATGGAGTGAAATCCACAAAGAATCTATAAAAGTGTAAAAAAAGGTGTGTGTGTGTGGGGTCTCTCTGTGTAGCCCTGGTTGGCCTGGGGCTCATTTTGTAGTTCAAACTGATATCAAACTTGCAGCTATGTATAACCATGCTGGGCATACCAATACTTCCCTAGGTAATTCTAGGTCACAAGGTCACGATACACCTTCAATGCTATTAATAACAAGGGTACCTGTGCATGTGTACTGCCGGGGTCAAACATGAGGTCTTTGAAATACCAAGCAAGCACGCTGTCCCTGAGCCATACCACTAACCCCAGCATCACTGGCAAAAGTTCAGACAACCTAAATCCCAATGCTAGCCGGCTACTACCCCCGAGGAGTCAGCAGCACAGACTGTTCAGGCTCAGCGAGGTTCCTGAGTGTGGTTTTATAGTCTATCTCCAATTTCCATTGCCAATTTCAGACATAAGGAAAAATATTTGAAATTTGCTTGTTAATAATCTTTCAACTTTGTCGAAAGAACTCTGCCTTGTTAGGTAAGACAGCCAAACAACTACATAATTCAGAGAGAAAAAAAACCAAATCCCAGGAAAATTAAAAGTTAGGTGTTACCCACACAACTAAAGGCATTGATACTAGGGGATCTGTATTCAAGTCTTTCATCAAAAAAGTACAAGAACTGGAAAGACGGCTCAGCAGTGAGGGCGCTTGCCATGAAGATCTGGTGACCGGAGTTGCATCCCCAGACCCAGAACTGACTTCACAAAATTGTCTTCTGACCTCCATATTTATGCTGCAGCAACTCCACCACCATTCATGAATAGTAAGCAGCTTTTTGTTTGGATACAGGGTCTCTCTACATAGCCCTGGCAGCACTGGAATTCATTCACTATGTAGGCCAGGCCGGCCTGAACTCACAGAGATCTGCCTGCCTCTGCTGCTCAAGAATGGGGACTAAAGGCATTTGAGCACCATGCCCAGTAATAAGTAACCTCTTTAAAAAAAGTTAAGCTTGAAGCCCGGGCCTCTGTCTTTGGCACAGTAGCGCTGCTCACCTGGAGTCCTAGCAGCAGGGAGGAGGTAGCAGACCACTAAGACTTCAAGTTGTATAAGATTATCTTGAAAGAGCAACAAAATAAGAAAGTGTACAACCAGTACACACATGCATCAGGCTTGGTGATCCGTGCCTATCACAGACACCTGAGGCCCAGGCAGAAGGGTTGAGTTTGGGGCCAGCCTGGATTACTGGATTATCCCGAGAGTCAGTCTTCTCAGTTTCTCTCTCTCTTAAAAAATATTAATGACTACCTAGAAAGCCAGACTTCTTCTCCCTTTTAGCAACAAATGAGTTAAACAGGAGAGACCGTGACTCACACGGTCCCCTTTGATGACGACGGAAAATTAAAGAGTTGGTTTCTTTGGAAGGAAATGTGGGAGAGGAGGGGGAACTTTAAAATTACACCTTTAAGGTTTAAGTCTAGGAGATGAAAAAAAAATAACTGCCATCTGGTCCCAATTTCAAAGTCAAGTCCTTCTTGTTCCCTAAAATCTTGAGTCATGGGAGGCAGAGGCAGACAGATCTACATGAGTTCGAGGTCAGCCTGATTTAAATAGAGAGTTCCAGTCTGACCATGGCTACATAAGAAGACCTGTCTCAAAACAAAACAAACAAAAAGCCAAAACCAGCAACAAAAAGGAATAAAAATAAAATCATATCCCCATGAGATTTACTTCTCTAAATTCATTCAATTAGAACTAAATCCCCCAATTCTTTTTGTTTGTTTTTTGTTGTTTTGTTTTGTTTTTCAAGACAGGGTTTCACTGTGTAGCCCTGGCTGTCCTGGAACTCAGAGATCCGCCCACCTCTGCCTCCTGAGTGCTGGCACTAAAGGCATGCACTATCACTGCCTGATTTTAATCAGAGGCTCTGAATACTAAGTTTAATAATCCCACCTTACACTTGTAAATGTATTTTTTTGTTCTCAAAGCGGGGAGCGTGTAAACAAATTTCAGAGAGCAGCTATTATGTTTATAGGCTTTCCCTGATGAAAGCTGAAAACAGCTCAGCATTGGAGGCTGAGCTGGAGGATCAGAAGTTCAAAGTCAACCTCATTAGCAAGTTTGAGCGAGCCTAGTTGCGGGGGTGGGGTGTGTTCCTATTCCGACATCTTTGTAACTTTTTAAAAGATGGTTTCGAATCAGTTAAAAACGAGTTTTAACATCAGACTACATCCTTACACGCCAAGTCTTTATTTGCTGTGGTAATGGGATGGTAAACGAAGAATGCAGTTGAAATGTCTGATTTCAATCCTCAGACAATGGAAAAGTTTTGAGCCAATGATTTCACAAGGCCCCCCATTAACTTTTCGTTAGTCCAGCTGACGAAAAACCGAGCATGCTGAGACTGCAGCCCATTTGTTTTCCCAGGCTCACCCTGAGGACCAGGCAAAAAGAGGGGTCCTGGCAGAGAAACAGGGGGCACAAACAAGAGAGAGAGAGAGAGAGAGAGAGAGAGAGAGAGAGAGAGAGAGAGAGAGAGAGAGAGAGAGAGAGAGAGAGAGAGAGAGAGAGAGAACGAACGAGAACGAGAACAGTTTTGCATTTTCAGCCCTCGGACTCCGTTCCAGAATTCCGCAATGACTGCCAAAAGCAACGGCCTTGGAACCAATTAACCATCACCCGCGACCTTCCGCTTCGACTCCCAGGAGGGACCTCGTTCCACCTCAGCTTTGACTCTACTCCAGAGAGACACGGTGAAGGGCGAACGCATTGCAAGTGAGGGAATCGGAGACCCTGGGGGAGCAGGGCGAGCTGGTCCGGGGGAAACTCCAAGGGAGCGGCACGAGAGAGTGCTGGCGGCGCGGGATGCACAGCGCCCGCCCATCCTGGGGACCCGATTCCGGCCCCCGCCGTCGGCCGCCCATCCTGGAGACCCCACCCGCCCTTCCACCGCCTTCGCCCCTTCCCCTGACCTGTCCGCGCCGGGTCCCGGTGCGCAGCGCGCCGCCTCCATACCCGCCCGTCCCGTGGCATCAGCGTCCAGACCCCGAGTCACCGCCGCCGGGCTGGAGAGGATGGAGGAGGTCGGGCCCCGCCCCTGGCAACCACACCCCGCACTGTCGCCGACGCCCATTGGTCCGGTGCCCGCCGCTCCCCTCTCACTGGCTAATAGCGCCAGCCGCGATGCTGGAGGGTTTCCAGGGGGCGGGAGGCACCAGGAGGCGAAGGCGCGTGCGCCAGAGCGGGGTGCGGCCCCCCGGGCTGGGTCCCAACTGGCCCTCCCGGGTGTCTCCAGCTGCTCCATTCTGCGGGCGCCTCCTTGTGCAGCAATGAGAACGCCCAGGGGGCTGCCAGGATTGTGGTCCAGGGGTTTGCAAACCTCTTTCGCCAGAAGCCTCGCAAGCTGACCCGCCTTCAGCCTTCTACACTAGCCGTCACCCAAAGCTGCTAAGCCTGTCCTCTCTGCAGTAGATCATGCCTCCAGCCATCAGTTCCTTTCTGGTTCTGGTCCCTAGAGGTCTTTCTGACCAGTGCTACTGCTTGTAGCCTTAAATTAGTAAGGCCTAAGCTACCACACTGATGTTGAATACAGATTTTCACTTTAAAAAAATATTGATGTATATTCATTGAGAGACAAGATCTTACTACATAGTCTGGCTGGCCTGGAACTCATCGATCCGACTGCCTCCGCCCCCTAATGCTGGAATTAGAGGCATGCGCCACCATGTCCCAGATGTATGTCTGCATACCATATGCATCCCTGGTGTCCTGTCTGTTGGATAGAACATGTGCCTTCTGGGCATTTGGGGCTCATAATCCTTGAGCCACGACTCCAGACCCCAGAAATTAACTTTTGAAAACTAGGAAATAAGTACATACATAAATTAGGAGAGCAGAACACTGCACTCACTTAGCCCGCTCCCTGGTTGCTTCCTGGTTTTTTTTTTTGTGTGTGTGCTTCAAATCCTAACCCATATAAGGGGCAGCGTAAGCTCTGCTTGGGCTGGATGCTAAATGAGAAGGGCTGAAAGAGATGCCGTGGTTGAGTAAGAGGACCACTGAGACACTTGTTAGCGGGGGCAGCACCTCCACACGAATTACTAGAATATGCTCTTCCACTGTATGTACACACAGTTACTCCACCATATTCTTTCACTGTAAACAGACTCTCAAAACACAAACCCATCCATCTGTGCCCTACCTCTCCTGACCCCACTGTATTCATCAACGCAGGGCTTGTGGCCCTTTGGCAGCTGTCAACCATTAAAAACTAGAGTTCGCTCGGATTCTCTCCATCAGCGGAAGCGGTCACCGAGCCTCACGATCAGTACCAAAAAATGTGGAAAAAATCAAGTTTGAGGCCGAAGACTAATCGGCACCGACTTTTTCTAGACGGGCCACACCTCTGCATTACTGATAAAGGTAGGCTTCTCTAAAAACTCGGGGCAGCCATTTATTTACAAACATTGTAAACAGTACAAGATACTTCAGAGGTTTAAACAGTTACTATGAGTAAAATATCAACAGTTCATGACACTAAATTCAACTCTTCCCGATATGAGGTGGCTTAAAAAGCAAATCTAGAAACCGACTTCCAACTCCAGGCCTCCAGCTAAGTCTCCCTCCTATTGGTGTCCACTCCGTGTCATTCTCAAGCCAGAGAAGAGACTTTAGAGACGACGGCGACCATGAGCAGCTTTGAGATGAACTGAAGTCTGTGACATCCAGTCAGATCTTCACAAGGAACTGGCTCTTGTCCAGCTTCCCTTTCTCCTTGAGGTAAGCAAACAGGTGCCTTCTGCGTCTCCATGTGACCTTTATCCCATACTTCTCCTCAGGGGTGTCCTTGACCAGAACAGGCCCAGGCTCTGGGCTGTTGGGAGTTGTAGGGCCAAGGATGCATCCTGCAAGGCTGTTTTCCTTCTGATCTGGGGAAACGGGATCTTCTCTCACGGATGATCCCGGGGTCTGGATATCGGGGGGCATGAACACATGAGATAAGCTTTGAAGGGCATGCACTGACAGGTCCCCACAGCTCTGGGGACTGAGCAGTGGCACTAAAGGCCTTCTAGGAGTGTCCTTTTCTGCTTGGCAGGGCTCTTCTCTGTTCAAGGATAGCAACAATGTCTCTGAACTGGAAGATGGTGGACTCTCAAAGGTTAGACGTGGGAACTTACAGGTAGATCTCCGAGTTAAGTGCCTTGCCTGGTCTCGGGGACGATGTTTCCGGTGTGCTGGAAACTGGCTTTCGGCTTTTGTATCAAACTGAGGTAATACCTGTGCATAAAAGAAAAAAGGGGTGGTGGTGGTAGGTCAACTATCAAAGAAACTACATCCAATGGACAGAATCCTTCTTTATTTTTGTCCAGAATCGTGAGGACTCGCTATAATAAAACCAAACCAGCTATGTGAGGAAATACTAAGCAAACAGTTTTGGGCCAGCTATCCAATCCCTCTGCCTTTCACGTTGCTCCTGGAGAACAGAGGAGACGAGGTATTTCTCATCACCACACAACACTGCTATGGCTTGTTTAACTGTCTGTCCGTAAACTTCATGAGAGCAGGGCTGGAAGGATCTTTGGGGGTTGAACCCATGCTTAGGACACTCAGCAGTTCAGTCCTCAGCAACACAAAGCCCTCAATAGGTCAGATTCATCCCCAGCCCCAGCAGAGTGCCTGGCAAGAAGGTCTCCAGCAAATAAGGAATGGCAGCTACAAGAACGGGAAGTGAGACTGTGTTCAGAAACAGGATCTGGTACACCAGGTTTATTCAATCAATGCTTATGGATTTTTTTCTTTTCGTTTCAGACAGTCTCACCATGTAGTCCAGGCTGGCCTTTAACTTGAGATCCTTCTGCCACAGCCTCTCAAATGCTAGGATTACAAGTGTGCCCCCTGATGCCATTTTTTAAAAGGATTTTCTCCCTAAGGTTCAGTCCATTTGGCCATAGAGTACCTAGTACTTTTCACATGAGTTACAGGAAATAATCTCATTTATAAGCTTGTAGTTTTTTTCTAGCTTCTTTACCCAGCTACTGGGTAGTGAAATGTCCACGCAGAACTTTTTCAGAAGAACCTGGCAGGGAAGACTCCAATTCTATATAACATGTATTCTGGACTGAAGGAAGAAAAGTAGATATACCAGATGGGTCAGGTTACCACAGCCAGAAAGAGTAACTGCTTCCCAGTCCCTGCTCCAAGACGATTCACAGTCAGTATTCTGAAAAGCTAACATGATAAAGGTCAAGGACTTACCCAGGATGTGATGGTGCCCTGATCTATGGGCTTGCTGGGCACCTGGACAGTGTGGGTAATGGGCTGCTGGAGAGAGTCATAATGGTGTTTGGCGCCCTCCAGTGGCGGTTGGTGGAATAGCAGCTGGGCTTTGCGGGACTGTCTTTGGAGTCTCTTTTTGGGAGGCATCAATAGGTAAATGAAGAGCAATTAGTAACCACATGATGCAGGTTGCCTTCCTGGTCTGGGCCGGGGTCCAGCTGCAAATCATTCCTGTAGAGAAGAAACAAAATCTGGGAGAAAATCACATGGGTGATTCCCCTGTCCTTCATGACACATATTAGTCAATCTACCAAACTACCACTCAGACCTCCTGTTGTGAGGAAGTTTCCTATACCACCTCACGAAACACATCTCAACAACACTCATTCAGTAAACACCTGCTGAACTTACATTACTGTGTCGTGCTGAGCACTCGGAATTAAAGATGGACACGTTCTTATTCAACAGTCGCTTACTGAGTGCCGAGCATCTGTAGTGATAGAGAGCTCCCTGTTTTTGAGGAGCTGGGTTTGTAGCGCAGTGGTACAGCACTTGTCTAAAATGCAAAAAGCCTTAGGTTCAATCCCCAGTACTGCTGAAAAGAAAACATGAGAAGGAGAGAAGGAAGGGAAGGAGCTGGAGTTTAAGAGAAGGAAATGATGCCGGGCGGCGGCGGCGGCGGCGGCGGCGGCGGCGGCGGTGGTGGTGGTGCACGCCCTTAATCCCAGCACTTGGGAGGCAGAGCCAGGCGGATCACTGTGAGTTCAAGGCCAGCCTGGTCTACAGAGCCAGATCCAGGACAGGTACCAAAACTACACAGAGAAACCCTGTCTTG